GCTCTCTTTCATTACCCCTGACACAACCACTTACCTCACCATACAAAATGTGGAAAAAACAAAACGAACAAACACACCAAGAAACTCCACTCATAATTTTAGGCACTAACTAGAAGGGGAGAGAAGGCGAGTCGTCCAGGGATCTAGAGCCGGGACAGCCATCACTTCTTAGCAAAGGAGATCTTCATGGCGTTGTTCTGTGTGATCTTGAATCCCTGGAGGGCGTCTCGGGCCGCTCCGGCCTGCACCTCATTGTCAAACTCCACGAAGGCTATATCGTGGCGACCGGGCACCAGCCGCACCTCCTTGAAGCCGGGGAACCTGCAGGAGGGCAGATGAGGGCGGGTCAGGGGCCCCACTTCCAACCAAGAGGGGGGAGCGACAAGGAAGAATTGGGGGGGAGAGACTGAGGCAGCCCTGCAGGCAGGGGAAGATGGATGGGAGCACCTAAGGAGGAGGCAGCACGGTCTAAGCAGGGGCTCAAACTGAGCAGGCAGAGCATTGCAGGAAGCGGGAGATTTTAAGAAGCAAGTGAGGACGCTTTCTAAACTGTGTCCGAAGAGCTCGTCTGGGGGATGGGAGAGGAGGCTAGTTCTTGAGCCCAGCCAAGAGAAGTCCCTTTTCATCAGCCTTATTCATGCAGATGTAAGACACAAAACGGGGTATCCAAAAACGTGTTATGTTAGATGGACTGCAGGTATTTCCATACTAAAAACAATGCCGCTGCCCCTACACATTTCCAGATCCTAGGTCTCCACAAATCCCCTTGCCGGCAACTACCGACCAAAGCATGATCGGCACGTGCCTGCCTCGCCTTTACTGAGCAACCCTCCAGCCAGGAGCCCCACACAAGGGGAACTTACTGATTGAAAAGCATGGACAGCATCAGTTCGTTGGTCTCCTCAGGCAGGTTGGTGAGGAACAAGATGTGGTTGGGAGGGTTCTCTGAAAGCTGCAAGGGACAGAGAGAGAAAGTGTCACATTTACAACTCTAGGAAGGAGGTGGGAACCCAGGCCTTGCAGTTACGACAGGCACCTCCGTGGAACCCCTGGCAACCCCAACCCCCTCTCCACTCACCGGCTGAGCTGGCGCCATCTGCCCTGGCATCATCTGTTGCGGGGGCATCGCCCCAGGAGGGATGGAGCCAGGCGCCATTCCGGGCGGTGGCATCATCCCTGGAGGGGGCATGTAGGGAGGCTGGCCTGGCATGTGGTGCATCATGCGAGGGGCTTGGTTCATGGGTGGCATGCCCTGGGAAGAAAGCGAGAAAGAGGAAACAGACACACCCCTGAGTGAGGATCGAACCCCAGTCTAGCACGGCGGAAACAAAGCCAGAGGCCAAACTGTACCCTATAATGAAACAACCCAACCAAACCATATGACACAGGATGGCACCAACTCCCACTCCCCCGTATCAGAGAAGCATCAGCTCCGTGGAATACCCTCCACGACCCACCCACCCCCGGCAGATACTCACAGGAACAGCACCCTGGACCGCAGGGGCCACTGGTGCCGCAGCCCCCGGAATCTGCTTCTTCACAGCCGAGACCTCTTGGCCCTTGGGCTTCCGCTTCTCACGCTTACGGTCCCGCTCCACAAATGTGCCCTTCATCTTGGCGATGATGTCAGAGTCTGTTTTGGCATACTGGATCCTCTGCGGAAGGAAACATGTGGTTAGACAGGGTAGCGGGAGGGAAGAAGACCCATGAACTGGTCCTGATGGCTAACGCAAGCAGAGAACCCCTGAATGAGCAATGGGATACATTACACAAGGGAGTGGAATTGAGCGGTAAATTACAAGAGTTGGGACTTGGACATGGAACTACGCCCACCTCTGCCCACTAAAAGGCCCTATCCGGGTTGAGAAATACAAGAGCACAGCAGGACCCCCACATCCGTGGGAAGAGAATCCATGGTTTGACTTATCCGTGGTCTTGAATGCGTTGCTGCTCCTTTGAGTGGACACTCGCTTCCGGCTGCCTGACAGGCACATGAGCCGGGACGCCAAGACTTCTTCCTCAAGATCTGACAAAAACCTTCGGCTCTGACTGAGGCGGCGAGATCCCTCTCTGGTGAGAGGCGAGCAAACCACCCACCCCTCAGAAGCAGACTTCCACCACCGCCACCACCAGAGCAGCAACACTCACCATGGGCTTGTCATAAAAGGGGAATCCCTGCATGGAGCGCAGGGCGTTGGTGGCGCTGCTGACCTCCTTGAAGATGACAAAGGCCTGGCCTCGCATTTTCAGGCTGCGGGACACCAGGATGTCCAGGATCTGCCCAAACTGGGAGAAAATGGCGTAGAGAGATTTCTTCAGCTCTGAGAAGTAAGAAAGAACCACAAGATGAGGAAAAGAAACTTCCGCCTTTGAGTCCGAAGAGGCGCCGCAGACACTCCTGAGCAAAAAGCGCGCCAATTTTACATCTCAGATACCGCAACAGGCATCAAACCTCTTAAATGCTTAAATCAAGGCAGCCCAAGCACAGGTGTGACTGCGCACAAAAGACACACGTAGTGCAAAAGGTTCAAACACAAGACTGTGCTTCTCCCCTCAACTGTGGCAAAAAGATGGGAATACAAGGTAGTTGTCTTTGGCTCTAACCTGTTACCTCCCCTTTACAAAACACTGGAATCTGAAGAGATTTTAGGCAGAACTGGAGCAGCCACTCACCATCTTTCTTTATTTTCTCATTGAGATTGTTAATGTAAATTGTGTGATTGGGGCGAGGCTCTGGGACAGCCATGGCAGGAACTCCGCCGTCAGCAGCAGATTCTGTAAAAGCAGGGAAAGGACCTCATGTGAATAAGCAGGGTAACGAACGTCTGAAAATCAGAGAGATGAGATTTAAACAAAAATATCCCAAGCCACTCAATCTGCAAAGGTCTGTAGCCCTTACTGGAAAACAAACGAACAATGGGTAAACACCCAGGACCTCCTAAGGTCTCCAGCACAGCTGCCTTGGTCCCAAAGCACAGGTGGAACCTCCATTCCTGGAGCAAAGCCACTCTGGGACTGACCACTGCCTGGACAGCACAGCTCAGGAGAGGTGACTTTGGGGATTAAACTGGCAGAATCTTCCACCCAGCAGCATGCACACGTTAACTTTTCTGAGCATTATGGAGTGGGAGGCCACCAGGGAAAACCAGTTATACCTCCTGGAGGTCTATGGCGGAAGACAGAGGAGATAAAATGCCCTGCCTCAAGATATGTTTTTGGTATTGCTTTGGGGTAAAAGGCAGGGTAGATATATTCTAAACAAACAAACAAACAAATAAGCATTTTTGGAGGCTTTTCACAGCCGGGATCCAATAGCTGTTGTAGGTTTTTCAGACTGCTTGGCCATGTTCTGGAGGTTTTTCTTCCTAACATTTCGCCAGTCTCTGTGGCCGGCATCTTCAGAGGACCAGAACACAGAGCCCTAACTCCTGTCCTCCGAAGATGCCTTCCACAGAGACTGGTGAAGTGTTAGGAAGAAAAAACCTTTGGAACATGGCCAAACATCCTGAAAAGCCTACAACAACCATCAAATAAATAAACAGCTCACCCTTTTAAAAGTGTGGCACCTGTTTGATCCTTTCCAGCATTTGTACACTTGCTATGTTAGCTTTAAACACCTTCTTTTAATGATGCAAGCCGCCCTGGGTCCCCTTTGAAGGAGAAAAGCGGGATAAAAACATTTAAAACAAGTAAAATAAAGAGCGCACAAGTCCTGGCTCATGCCCGTGGCTGAAGGAGGCGTTAACCCGGGGAAGCAGGACCACCAACCTCTCCGGGGGAGGTGGGGAGTGCTCCAGCCCCTGGAGGCCTTAAAGAGGAAACCGCCGGGCAGATCTGCTGGGGAGGGGGTTTGAACCGGACGGCCTTGAGGCCCCTTTCCAGCTCCATGATTCTATCCAGCCTCCTCCCTCCTCCCGGGGAGCCCGCCTGGCCTGGGTTGGGTGCCTGGGCTCAGGCAAGAGGGCCAGGAGGGCTGCGGGGGAGGGGGGGTTCCAGCAGCAAAAGCCGCCCCAAAGGGACACGTGCGGCCTTTCCTGCCCCAAAGCTGCTCCTTGCAGCTCACGGCCAGGTCTCACCGCTTGGGGAAGTTACCTTTTTTTGGGGGGGGGGATCACGAGCCAGAGGGACTAGAAAGACCGGGAGGGGGAGAGAGAGAGGAGGGCAGACCCCTCTCCCTCCCTCCCTCCCTCCCTCCCTGTGCAGAAGGCCGGGGCCTAAAAGGACCTGCCCAGCAGAACCAGGGGCCCTGCCGGCTGGGGGATGCTGGGACATGTACTCCCCCAAAAAGAGTAACTTCCCCACTGTTGGCTCTCTTTGCCAAAGAGAGGGAACGCACTTTGCCTCCTCCCGCCCTCTCCCCCCAAAAGTCCCGGATGTCAAGGCGCCAAACCAAGGTGGCTCTCTTTGCCAAAGAGAGGGAACGCATTTCGCCTCCTCCCGCCCCCCCAAAAGTCCCGGATGTCAAGGCCCCAAACCAAGTGCCCGGATGTCGGGGGACCAAGGAAAAGCCCCGGATGTTACGGTTCCTCTTCCTCCTCCTCCTCCCCCCCCCACAAACGTCTACCGGGGCCTCCTCGCGGCGCCCGGACCAGCCCAGGGCCGCGACGACGGCAGCAAGTCCCTCTCCCCTCGCCCTCCCGATCCCGGGGCGCTGCGGCCCCCGATGGCCTCCCGCCCGCCTGATCCCTCACCGATTCCACGCAGGCGGCGTCACGCCGGGAGACGGCCCTCCTTCGCGCCCGTAGTCGTAAGCCACACCCCTCCGTTGGCGGGCGGGCCAATCCGAGACAGCCGTGTCTGCTCCACCAATGAGAAGTGAGGAGGCCTTCTGGCCAGTCCTTCCCCCCCCTCCCCTTGCCTCTGAACTTCTGCCCTCCAATCGCTGCGTCTTTTTTCCTCACCAGCTTCCCGCCCCTTCCTCCAAAAGCAAGGTTCGGATTGGGCCTCTCAGAGGGACGCCTTTCTAGTGGGCCAATCGAGTCAAGCCTAGACAGGAAGAGGCGGGTCAAATAAGATGGAGGCCTAGGAGGTCGCCGGGCGGTGGCGTGCGGGCACGTGGGCCGAGGGAGCCCCGGTTGGCGCTGGGAGGCGGGAGGCGGCGCGGCCAGCGGCGGTTTCTTGCGTCGCCCTTTGCGGCCTTTCTGGCTTTCCACTCCGTGAGATGACCTCTGACCCCTTTCTTGGCTCCTCTGCCTGCCTTGACCTTTAACCCGCAGCTTCCTTCCTGAACGCTGGCTTAGTTTAGAGCTCTCTTTCTTGGGGAGGGGCCAGGGTTTGACCTTTGACCTCTGTCTCAGCTGGGGGAACCTTGGCTTTGACTTCTGACCTGTATTTGGAAGAGGCACTTGGGCCGTGATCTCTGACCTCTCCTGGGAGGTCGCCTGGCCTTTGACCTCCCTTTTCAGGTGCTTCCTCGCAAGGAAGAAGAAGCCCCCCCCCAGACCCTTGCAGTATGTGAGAGAGAGGGGCACGCATGCATGCACACACGCACGCACACATGCCCCTCTCCCTCTCCTACCCAGACCACTGCCTGCACCGAAGTCACCCCTGGGAGGTGCAAGCATGTCTGAGGCCTTGGAGCGGGCAGCCCTACCGCCTTCTCCTCCACCCCCTTGCCCAGGGGTGCCACCACCGCCGCCGCCAACCCTGTGCCCAGGGGTGGCCCCTCTGCCGCCACCACCACCCCTGTGCCCAGGGTTTCCCCCTCTTCCACCACCGCCACCCGTGTGCCCAGGGGTGGCCCCTCCTACCGCCTTCTCCTCCACCCCCTTGCCCGGGGGTGCCACCACCACCACCGCCACCCCTGTGCCCAGGTGTGGCCCCTCTGCCACCACCTCCTCCACCACCACCATCCGCACCGCCTCCTATGTTAGGTGGACCTCAGCTCCTCAAAGCCGCTTTGGAGCAAGCTGGACGTGCGGACCCTGACAGTGTGCGGGAGCTCCTGAGACGCAGGCAGGCCAGGTGTGATGCCGTCTGTGCCTTTGTGCTGAGATCTCTTTTGCCCAAAGAGGCAGGCGGAGGGAGTACAGGGTTCGGGGGTTGCCTCCCCAGTATAAAGCATGGGGAGCTCACATGAGAAAGAAGGCAGGTGGTGGAAGAAACGGGGGTGGTGGTGGCTGGGAGTGGAAGTGGGTGCATGCTTGGAATTGTTACCCCATAAGAATGAGGACCCCAGAGGCAGCTGTAGCCAAGACAATTTCCCTGAGTCACTCCTACTTAAGTGCCCGTAGATGGGAAATGCACAGAGCCTGGTTAATTATGCAGGGAAAGAAAGTGCTGTTAATGTGGATCTGCTTTCCTAAGGGACTGATTTTGTTTCTCTGTTTTTTATCATTTTTTGTTCCAGTTTTAATGAGAATTTAAAGTGGCTTCTTTTCAACAACCCTGTCCCTTCCCTCATCCAGGAGGGCCCCCAGTAAGTACTGGATGTTCTTTATTGTAACAAGAGATGGCGTGCTTGTAACTTTTCGAGGGGCCAGTGGTCTGTCCAGCACAGAATCCCAAGCCTTTCCCTGTTTCCTGCTAACCAAAATGAATTTGTCAAAGGAACTTTGTTCCACCTAGGAGCGGAAAGCAGTCCTTTAGACCCACATTGACCCTGTGAGACAGGCAAGGCTAAAAGAGTGAGTGGGAAATCATTTACATCTCCTTCCCTGAATGTTATAGGGATGGGATTTAAACCTGGATCCAAACTCTTTACGCTTCTTCCATGGCAAACATGGAGGCAACAGGGTCAAGCCCTTGGGGTGTGAAATGACTCAGGTTGCAGAGGGTTTGGACTTTAGCCGGGCAGGGTGATGTCTCTGGTTTCTCCATTCCTTCTCCAGGTGTGGGCTGGTGGCGCTGTGGATGGCCGGTGCGCTGCTCTCGCTACCCAGAGCCAGGTCCTTGGAGAGAATTGTGCAGGTGGCTCTGGAGAGAGGCTACACAGCCCAGGGGGAAATGTTCTCAGGTTGGTAAATGAGGAGGGCCAGAGGGTGCCCTACTGCCCAAATTGGGCCTGCCTTGACCCTGCAGGACACAGAGTCTGGACACATTTTGGCCTGGGGGGGGTCCAGTTGCTCACACAGGTCCCGTCCCTGTGTTGGCCTAAGCAGGGGACGTGCCGAAGGGCTGCTTTGCCTCCACCCCTTTCTCTGTTCCCTCTGCCTGGTTCAGCTGCTGACATGGCCACGCTTGCCAAGGAGGTGTTTCCCTGCCAGACGGAGCTGCTCTCTGGAGGTTTGGAGGGACAGAACCACAGAAGGATCCTTCAGCATCTCTGGTCAGGCTTTCCGGTTTTGATACCGTATCCTTTCTGGTGGAACCTGCTAACATGCAGGGCATTGGGGCAGAGACCTTTGCACGGTCTGATGAGGACACAGTGAAAAGGAATAACCCTGGGGCCGCTTGTTCCCAAGTTTGGCTCTCGGTGGCTTCATCAGGATCTCTCACTAGGATCCCCTTTGGTGAATACCGAGGGGGGGCAAAGTAGCGGCAAGACCTGGAGTTGCATTTCCTCCCTGGGCCCTCCAAGTGTCTCCTAGCCCAGGCCTTAACACCCAGCCCAGCTACGACGAAGACAACAACCACGAACCTTGCCTCCGGAAGGGCCACAAGGCTCACTGGGCCATCGCCTCAGGTACCGTTGGTGGCCATCCAGGACTCTTGTGGGCGGAGGGGGCTGGTGGAGCTGGGCGGGATGTAACTCTTCTCCCCCCCCCTTCCTATAACAACAAGACTGATGGCAGGGAAACTAACTTGAGCAGCCAGAAAAAGACATTGCCACAAGGGGGCAACCGCTCCATGGTGGAGGCCTGCACGATCAGCTTCGGAGCACAGAGCTTCCCCTTGGGCACAAGACAGAGAGAGGCAGGAAAGGGAGAATCAGCAAACACATCTGTACTACTTTCAGAAGTCAGTTCAGAGCAGAGGAACAGACAGGCATAACATTTCCTCCTGCTGTCTGTCAAACTCTCTTACATTCTGGGCTGGATTCTGGAGGAAATTTGACCTTCCCACTTCAGCATTCAAAGCAAATAAACAAAGTCCAATTCTTCCTGGATTTGAAAATAACTGATTTTAGCTCCTCCTTTCACTGTCTGCATTTCTGTCTATCCCAGCATCGGTTCTAACCTTCCTTTAGGCAGGCAGATCAAGAATTGCATGACATAGGTGCAAACAGTAGCCGATTCAGTATCAAACCATCTTTGCAAGTTGACCACCCCTCCACCACACACACACACATCTTCTAACACATCCATGCGAGCACCTGTTCAATAGAAAATTCATGTTTTGTAAGAACGCGGTGCTGTCAGGAGTTAGTGTGTGCAACCGCGGTCTGTGCAGAGCATGGGGGGAGGGGGCAGCCCAGTTGGAAGGATGGCTTGGAGAAACGGAGGTTGCTCGGAACTGGTAATGGAGGACTAGGGTGCTAAATTCCCAATTACTCTTCACTGGGCACAGCAGCAGGGTAAGGGCTGTTATTTATTTTAAAAACTTTTATTGCATCTCTTTTCCTCGTGTAAAGAGGCAGCTTCAAAGATGTTGGGAACAATCCTACAAACCCTATATGTTTAAAATCTGGCTGTTTCTAAGACCAGCAGGCAAGCAGCGGTCACAGACACCTTTTTTAATTCCACCCTAGGAGCCCTGCTTGGTCTGAAGAGAGGTGTCCAGCTGCCTCCCTGCCGGGAAGATGAGGAGATCCCCGGACTCTTCCACGCCGGCCCGGCGGTCTCGGCCCTCTCTCTGGATGCCGTGGCCGAGACTTATTTGCTGGCTAAGCAGGGCAAGAGTTGCCGCTACCAGCTGTGGAGTTACACGCAAGTCCAGGAGAGCAATGGGCAGCTGACAGACTTCAGCCCCAAACGGGCATCCGATGGCAAGGTCTACATCGTGCCAGCCGGAGGTGTGCGGGAAGGGCTGTGCGGAAAGGCTGTTTTGCTGAGGCCAGAGATGCCGGAGGGCTCCCACTCTGACTGAGCGGGCCGGACTCTCAACCTTGGGGTGGGGAAACCGCTTTCCAAAGTCACTACCTCAGCTGGCTGTATCAAGAGCATAGGGGGGCAGCAGGGAAGCTCTGTGGCACTTCCATGTTCAAGTAGAGCGTATCTGGCCTGTGTGAGGGGGATGCTGCCTTTATGCCTTGCGGTCGATCAGCTGGAACAGACCTATAAGTAGCCCAGGCGGCACATTCTGGGTGCCTCTAAGGCTAGCAGAGGGGGCCGACCGACTGGGAGAAGGCGCAGTCCATTATAAGAACAGCAGGAAAGTTCATGCTTTCCTCCTGGAGGCAGAAAAGCCATTTTATTCCCCTGTTCTCCACTCCCACCTGCAGGAGCTACTTTCCACAGCAGGGTAGCCCTTGGTTGCTGTTGGTGTGGCCAGCTAGGGACAAACTATATTAAACTATACAAACTATTATGGTTAATGATGAGACTGGCAGGTCATTGCTTAACTCGGGCAAGGGTGCCTGCATGGGTCGCAAGGGACTGTGAGGAGTTTCTCACCTGGCCAGATGCCCTCCCTCCCTCTCCAAGGGTGCCTGCATGGGTCGCAAGGGACTGAGGAGTTTCTCACCTGGCAAGATGCCCTCCCTCCCTCTCCAGCGGTGAAGGAGGCAGCTCTGAGCGAGACCCTGTGCCAGCCTGTTCCCCCCCCCCCCAAGTGCCTCCCGGGGCNGCCAGTGGTGGCGCACTCCTCCCAGTCTGTGTGTCAGAGGCGGCTGGACCATTCCCTCACTCCCAGTATTGTGCAGCTCCTTGCCCTCTGGCTTGGCATCCTCACAACTGCAGGTTGTGCAGAGGCACCAGAAGTGGGACCCTGGTGTTCGCGCACACACACGCCTCAAAGGTCATGCTGTTTAAGTTAAAAGAGGTGTGTCTTCCTTATTGCCTTCAGAGTCAGAATTCCGTTAAACGCCCCTTACCCTCCTGGACCAAGGGAGCTTGGCAGTCTCTGCCTTTGGAAAGGCCACTGCTGCCAGCTCTTTCTGTCCGGGAGGATTTGGCCCTTCCTCTTTCCAATCCCTTTGCGTCGCTCCACCGGAGGCAGCAGCGGTAAACTCCTTCCCTGCCGGGGGCCACGTACTCCATCAGAGTGTCCGTCTCAGGCCAGGATGCAGCCCCCGGTGCCGCCAGCCAGGCTCCGCAGGAAGTTGCAGCCTTGGACAGACCTCACCACTTCCTGCAGACGTAGGAGGAATAAATAGCCCTTTTGCTGGTGCAATCCCAGAATAGCAGTCCGGAAAGAAATGTCTGGAATTTCCTTTGATTTCAACGCCAGGCTAGTTTAATGCCAAGGGGTTGTGTGTGCTTTTTTTAAAAGATTAAGCCGAGCCGGGGAAGAAGTAACCTGAACTCTGGGGTGTTTCTTAGAATCCACTTTGTGGCTGAAATGATTCCGAGAGCTTGTGTGGTCCGACAGATCTAAGAGGGGTCTGAACGCATGAGCTCAAACCCCACCTGCACAGCGAGCTTTCGGAAGGTGGGTGGTGGGCTGGGGGCAGGCGGCAGCTTCCGAGCCTCTGTTTCTTCAGCTGTGCAACAAGGATGGCAGAATGCCCTCCGCTGGCTCTGACGGGGAAGGACGTCAGGTGCTTTGGAAATTTAACAGCACTACAGAAGGAAACCCTTGCTTTTAAGAATTGGGCTTTTGTGAAAGGTGCCTTCCCCCCCCAAGAGTGAAATGTTTTAAGTGGGTTCTTTATTTTCTTAGAGAGTGCCTTGGCATAGAAGTTGGGTCTTTGTTCTTTGCTTGACGTCATCCCAACACCTCCCTGGCCTTTTTGGCTGTTTTTTTTTTTTTTTTTTTTTTTAGCTCTTCCTCCCCCTTCCCAGCCTGCCACTGTCCCATTCCGCAGCCTCTTCTTGGGAAGGTCTCCTGATCCATGGCAACAGGAAACGAGCAGCTTTTGTCTCTGCCTCCTAAAATAATCGCTTCTTCCTGGTTCCATCCAAAGGGTTGGACTGGGGAACACTCGTCTGCCAGTCTTTCTGCAGGAGAACCTTTGAAACAGCTGTAGCCAAGGGCAGGTTCTTGAAGCAAGGGCTCCGGAGGACCAGTTCATAGTGGGTGGTTTGGAGAAAGGCTGTGGGTAGCCTTACACAAACCCTGAACCGTCAGGGGCCAGGAGCCGAGTTGAGTCCCTCTTTGCCAAACAACGCCCCAGTGCTTTTCTCCCTTGTTAAGCACCCGGGATCACCTGTCATGTTCTCTTGCGGAATAGGGTGTAAATGTACATAGATATGAGTCCACACATACACACAGAGTCACGTAAAAGGATTGTGTGGCCAGTGGATCAAAGTAGAGAGACAAGGGGCCTCTCTCGTTCCCTATGGAGTGAATTACCTGGGACCACCCCCGCCATCCCAATTTAACAAATACTTTGGTAAAAGCAAAGTCCAGATTGTCTAAAACAGCAGTCCCCAACCTTTTTGGGACCACGGACCAGCTGAGCCTCTGCGAAAGGTGGGGCACACACACACACACCCGCTCTCAGGCGCATGCACGAAGCGGTGGGGGAGCGTGTGTGCGCCCACCAGTGCCAGCGTGACCACTCCACCACTATGCGCAGGAGCGCCTGCACGCATGCACACCCCTTCGTGCGGGCACATGCGTGAAGGGGTGGGGGAGCGCTCACGCCAGCGCTGGCACATATGCGTATACGCAAAGCAGTTGTGGGGAGGGGAGCGCATGTGGGAGGGTGCAGGAGGTCTGTCTCCGCAGCCCAGTCCGGCTCAGGCCACAGACCAGGGGTTGACAACCTCTGGTCTAAAGGTTGTCTCACTCATACACACAGGTCCAGTGCCAAAATATTCAACAGGACAAAACAACACAATATGTTTGTTACTTAGTGATGTTCCTTTTTAAAAAAAGTTGCATGTCTCAGTATTTACAGGAAAACATACAAAACAAATAAACTGGAAAAAATTGGTAAAAAAGGTGAAGCTGAGTTTCCACTTCCTACCCCCATTTCAAAAAGCTCAGTGGGAGATTTTTGCCCCAGAAACGTCTTATTTAAAGCCATCCCACATTCAGCACTGCAAAGCAGGCAGCTTGGCAATTGCCAAAACATACATATATATATTTCAAAATCCACCGCATCTTGGAGACATTACCTTTTAAAGCAATTGGTATGTTTCTGTTCGTCTCACAGAAAAGTAAATTGCAAACATGCCAGCGAGCTTAACAGTGGGACGAAGGGTCATTGTTTTATCACCTCTCTGCTGGAAGGAGAAGCAAGCATTTTACCCCAATGATGTTCCATAAGGACTGAGCTTATTGTGTGATGTGTGTGTGTGTGTGTGCGCGAGACAGAGAGACATATTGGGGTGTGTGTGTGTGTGTTTCCATCAGCACAACACTCCTTGTGTGTGTGTGTGAGAGAGAGAGATATTGGTGTGTGTGTGTGTGCGCTTCCATCAGCACAACACTCTTTGTTTTTCTAAACTTTTCGGGACTTCTCCCAAGAGCTTCTCCTCTGAGAAAGGCTACCCTCTGCCTCTCAGTTTTACACCTTGAGAGCACTTGGTGCTATCGGCAAGCCTACTTTCAGGCATCCGACCTCTCTTTTCCTGGCACAGCAACACCCCAGAGACCCCGGGTTATAGTCAGGATGCCGACAGTATCACTACAAGAAATAGCTTTTGAGAGACAACTTCTTTCCTGGCTGTGCAAGTCCGGGACCCTTTCGAACGGTGACTCTCCGTGGATCACGCTGGAGCCTTTTGGTGCTATCGGCAAGCCTACTTTCAGGCATCCGACCTCTCTTTTCCTGGCACAGCAACACCCCAGAGACCCCGGGTTATAGTCAGGATGCCGACAGTATCACTACAAGAAATAGCTTTTGAGAGACAACTTCTTTCCTGGCTGTGCAAGTCCGGGACCCTTTCGAACGGTGACTCTCCGTGGATCATGCTGGAGCCTGTGGGTCCCTCCCAGGCCGGCAGCCTTTCTTTTCCAGTTCTGCCCCAGGCGCCTTCAGGGCTTCCCCAGGCTGAGTAGCATATCTGGCTGAATAAGTTAACGGCGGGGTCGCTGAGACCGGACCCACAGTGCAGTCCTTGTCTTGGCCGCCTCCGGGGAGGCGCCGTGTCCGAGGCCAGCTCACGCCCCCAGCATGCTCTCCAAGATGGCCATGAGGTTGTCCAAGCCCCAGAGGTAGCCGTCCTCCCGGTTTCCTTCCACCCAGGGCAGCCGGTGTGTCAGAGTCTTTTTCTCCGGCAGCGGGACCGTCTTGCCAAAGTCGATCATCCAGACCCGGGCCAGACCCGTTTGGTCGTGCACAAAGAGGAGGGAGCTGCCCACCACCTGGAAGTCAAGAAAAGAGTCAGGAGGACAGGATGGAAGGGCTCCCCGTGCAGGGAGACTCTGAATTGATTTCTGGCTGGCTCAGAGGAAGGAGACCCTGCGCAGCTGGGTCGCGCGCCCCTGCTCACATCAGCCGAGCCACTCCGTCAGAAAAGCCTACCTCATGCACCTTGAAGAACTCCGACTGCTCCAAGGCCGCCCTCACTTCCTGCAGCCGCTCCAAGTAGCTGCTCTGCGGAGAAAGAGAGGGAGAGACCCCCGTCAGGGAACAAGGCTGTGGGGCAGGGAGGAAAGAGGCCCTGGGAAGCCAAGGGGTGGGGAAGGAACTGAGGGAGAGAGTCCCCCACTCTTAAATAAGAGAGTATTATCTGTTTCCCCAGGAATCCCCTGCCAACCAACCACCACACATCTGGTCGCGTTCCTGATTTGAGTCAACGATGTTTGTGTCTTGCATCCCTAAGTCTTACCACAGCAGAAAGAAAAAGGCCCTCCCTTTATAGAAGACCATTTTATTGAAATGCAGGCACCTTGTCGCTACATTCTGGGTTTTCAGTGAGTTAGTAGGTTAGGAGAAACCCATGCGTTGACTACAGGCAGGCAGAAAGGCCCCGGATGGGTCACCGAGGGCACGATGGGGTGGAGAGCAGAGGAGAAGTTCAGAGGGGGGGTGTGTATCTCGCATTTGTCCACATTGCACTTGGAGGAAAGCCGCTGGGCAGAAGCTCCCTCGCAGGCTCCGGGGACAGACAGGTGGGGCCTGGCCCCATTCCAGGAGAAGTGTGACGGTGCGGTTGGAGCACCTCTCTGGAAAGGAATCCCTTCCCATTAAAGCAGGGCGGCCCAGGCCAAGAGAACACAATGGCAAATTGAGGGTTGTTTTTTTGCTACCAGCCCCCTGTCCAAATCCCATAGAGGCACGTATTCCCCCCCCCCAGGGAGGGAAAGCATGCCAATCTGCAGAACGTCGCCGGGCAGAAGGCCAGTCCTCACCAGAATTCTTCTGTCGCCGTCCAGAAAGTCCCAGAAGGCCTGGACCACTTGTTCCGGCTGCCGCGTCTTCTTAAAGCTGGTATTGCAGGTCCCGTCAGCTTTCTGGGTGGGAGAAACGGGGAGGAAGAGAAATGGACACGTCAGACAGGCAGTAGCAAAACTGGCCGTGAAGCTGCCTTTGTCTCCCGGGATCTGATGAGGAGGATGGGGACCAGAGCCGAAGGGGCTTTTCCCCCTAGGGAGCGGCTTTCAGGACCCCCTGGGGCTGAGCTTTGTCCTAAGAGGGGGGCCTCCCCCTCGGGCATCCCCTGATCCTTCCTGCGCCTCACCTTGATGCCCTCAATGCGGAACCCGAGGGTGGTGGTGGAGCTGAGCGTCTCCCTCCACTGCATGTACCGTGGCTTCAGGACGCCGCCCTGCGCGTGCTCCTCTGGCGTGGGAGCTGTGGGGTCCACGGCCACCATCTTCTCGTACATGTCCCTCCGTGGGCAGGGCTGCTGCCGGGCCTTCTCCAACTCCTCCTCCAGGTAGGTCCTGATGCAGGCGGGCAGAAAAGAACCACCATGTCAGATGGCGGCAGAGCCACACGCCGGGTCAGTCTAGATGACCCTTCCCCTCCCTCCAGCTGACGAAGAGGTTCTCCGCTAAAGGGAGGGGGGAGGCCTCACCTGACTCCCATTTTGCAGTCCATGATGGAGGGGGCCTCGAAGCCCGCCAGCAAATCCTCCATCTGGATGTAGGTTTCTCTCTCGTGCTCCACCAGCCCATAATATGCCGGGACGTATGGCTGCAGCGCATCACACCCTAAGCGCTCCAGGCACTGTTGCTCACTGGGGCAATACTTCTTCAGGATGTGCCCGAATTCCCCCGCCTTAAAGTTGCCTGAAGGAGAGAAGAGCGGGAGTTACAAGGGGGCACCCCACAGGCCCCTCCGGAAGATGGCCAAAGGTTCTTTCCCCCCCCCGACATTTGGTTCCCATTCCTGCAGAGATTCAGTAGGGCAGGGTGGACAACCGTGGGAAGACCAAGCGCCATCTCCAAGTCCCCCTGGACTCTCCTCTGAGGGGGTCCACTTTGATTTCTAAACAGGTGTTGGCAAAAACAAAGGGTGGCAGGAATTGTCCATTGGCTCAGAGGAGAATCGTGGCCCCCTTTTTAAAAACGAAAGTGGTTCCAGGACCCTAAGAACAACTTTGGGGGGGGCAGAGTCAGGGCCACACGTACACCCCCCAAGACAACATTGGAGGTTGCCCCCAGACCGTCGTTACCTGCGTGGCCGGCCAGCTGCACCCACGGATAGCGTTTTCGGAAGGAGACCACGCAGGGGGACCAGTGCACCATGTTTTTCAGCTTTTTCCAGGATTTGTTCTGCAGAGAGAGAGAGGCAGAAAGAGTGCTCAGTGAATGAACGGAAAGCTGCTCTCCTCACTCAGAGGAAAACCTGGACCCTTCGGAGGAGCATCCAGAAGTTTAAAATGGGAACAAATGTATTTTTGGAGTGAAGCGGGGTGGAAAGTTTTACATGGATACACCTTTGGTAACCTAGTCCTGAGGGTGAAGGTGGCACCGATGGGGAAGGTTAACTTGTACTGTGTAAGATCATGTACTTTATGTTAGTTTTGTTACTGTTACTTTCTTTCATTTTAAATCATAATAAAAAAGGGAACAAATACAACAGTTTTGCAAAACAAAACGAACCAGATTTATAACCACCAGAGAATGTGCTGCTTAATCTCGTCCCAAACCTTTCAAAGATGCATTTTGCAGGGAAACAAAAGTGTGTGGTCTTTATTTTAAAAAAATCCTTCATCCAAAATATTTTTTACAAGACTCAATCCCTCCATTAATTGATGATCGACTGGCAATCCAAAGCTGGACCCCCGGGACAGAAATGTCCAAACGTCAGCCTGGCCGGATGACGAAGCTTGAGGAAATGTAGTTGCGTAAGGTAAGTTGCAATCCTGAGGCTGACTCATCCAGAACAGAGTCATCTGTTTCTGAAATGGAACAGGAAATCTCTCTCTCTCTCTCTTCTCTCCATCGTTCCCCAAGCTGGGCTGACCAATGCAGGGGCCACAATCCGGCCGTCTTTCCCTTCCATAAATTGGCTGCCAGAGGTTAGGTAGGCCTGAGCGTCCAGGGCCAAGAAAGAAAGGTTGCTTTCGTGCAAGCTGAAAGCAAACCGAAGCCTCTCTGTTCTGGAATCGGGCACCCATCAGGCGTCCCTGGGATGCTGGTGGACCCCACCCACCCCAGCCGTGTGGGGGATACTGTATTCCTGCATAGTGTTCCTGTATATACGCTCGATACTGCCTGACTCTTGGGAAGACCAAGCACTCTGCTGAGGTGCTCTCTGTGCTGTGCCCTGCCCTGGAAAAGCTACATCTCCTGAGTGCTGAACCAGAACAAGCCAGAGTGACTTATGGGGCCTGTCCGGTTCCCGTCTGTTCTAAGTTTTCACACACACCCCGCAACACCTCCTTCTTCCTCTATTTAATGCACGTGCAACCTTTCATAAAGAATGGCAATATATTGCAGCTTGCCATATAATTTCTTTTTGGGGGGGGGGATTTAAAACACCACGTAAGTTACAAATATTAAAATAGAATTAAATTCTTGTGTATTGTTAAAATGCTACTGGAATTAAAGCACCATAAAAACCGTGAAATAAATGTAAAATCGGTTAAATCAAATTGATGGCTGAGTCTTCACTGCTCTTGGCAGTGAGCATATAAATACTAAAGAGTGTCAAACGAATACCATCCTAACAGAGATAAACAAAAAAGCTCAACATTTTGTTTGGTGGGAGCAGCAGACTCTTGACGGAGTTGAGGCAGCCCCCGTTGGCACATCTCAGTCCACCCCTGGGTCTGCGCACGGGCAGGTTCTATTGCCGTCCACTGAATTTAAACAGAGCCTGTTCTACCTCTGTATTCAAGCACAGGGGCTAGTGGCTTCCTGCGATGCTCAGTTTGGCTACCAGACGATGCTCAATTTGGCGATTCTGGGGTAGATCTTTGCCTTAAAGAGGAGGCCTGTCCTTTTGTCCTGAAAAAGCTTACAGCAAGATAACCTTCCCAAATGCATCATCTAAGCTCCAGAAATGACAAAACTGAGGCTATCGTACTTTGAGCACGTCGCATGAGGACAAGACTCCTTGGGAAAGTCAAGGCTTCTGGAGCAAGCTGAGGGCAGTAGGAAAAGAGGGAGACCAAACATGAGATGGGTCAACTCATTACAGGAACCACAACTTTGAATTTGCAAGCAAGCAGGACTGCTTAAGAGAGGAACACTTTTCAGAGAGCATTCATTCACAGGGCCCTCCATGCCAGAAACGACTTGATGGCACCTAACAGACCGCAGAGGGCAATATAACCACCTTGGTGTAAAAGAGGAACAATGGAGATGAGAAATGTGTTTTGCCATTTTGCGCCTCTTGGGATTTAAGTCTCCTCCCTTAACTGGAGCAACAAAAAAAAAAACCTCTCCCCATTTTGTGCTCGCTCTCAGCTGACAAATATGCATCCACGGTGTGCTGGAGGTTTCTCACTTTTCTGGAAAGGCCTCCGCCACCACCCTCACGATCACTAGCAATAAAAAAAAAAATGCAGCCTGACTCAAAGTTTCCACTGTGTGCGCTGGTTGGGGTTTTGCTGACAGCCGCAGCTCAAAAGTAGAAACGGAGAGAAAGAGAGAGGAAAAGAGATGAAAAATTTTTTTTAAAGGGGGGAAGCCTAACGGAGTGTCCAAGGCAAATAAAATTCCAGGGGTGCACAGCAGCTTAGAAGCCAAGGCGTCCACCAAGGAAACATGAAAGTTAGCTGAGGATAAGAGGGCCATTGACTAGCACTCTGCCCATGCCCAAAAGCACCCTCCTCCTTTGTTTATTGTTTAACTCGGAAAACACCAGGGTTGGCCATCCTTCATGGCAATCTCCCCCACACACGCACCACGAACACTGTCAATATCTTAAGTAAGAATTCAAGCAACGGTGTTTCTGGGCACCCCTCGGGTATCGTTTTCCCCCTCTCCATCAAAGACCTCATTGGGAGTCCACAGAGTTGGGATTTGGAGAAGCCCTACTTCCCCGTCGGAACACTTTGGACCCTCGGGACAAGCTTCGCCCCTCCCTTTAAAGCTGACTGAGGGCAGCAGGAGACAAGACGGTGGTTCCGTATCAAGGAGGAGTGCTCCCTGAAAAGGAAAAGACTGACTGACTCTTCTAAGAGGAGTTTGCCTCCACCTGCACTGGGCAAATGGGTTTGCTTTCGTTTTGTAAGGATTCGACTGAGAGAGTCATGCTTTGTTTGCATGCCTGATGTCTCGGGGAAAGTAGCGCTGAAAAATTTACATGCCTCAAGGGATAATATTATAAGAAGAGGATGAAAGCTGTTACCTTAATATGTGATCTGTGGTTTCTTTTCAGGAAAGGGTCCTGCGCTGTCCCTTTACTCCATGGAGAAGCACCGTCCCCGTTACGGTTGACCAACGGTCCTTCCCTTCTCCCACCAAGAGCACTACTCTCAACCCGGATCGCTGCCTTGCTCCAGCCCACCTCCGGCTCTGGCACCCTCCTCTCTCTTCATAACACTGGGTCCCAAAGGCCCCTCCCTGCCTCTGCTAACGAGGCAGAGCAGGGGAACGAACCAGGAGGGATCTTCATGGGAAATGAGAACAGCAGAAACGTCAGCGTTTCCACCGGCCACGGCAGGTTCGGGTGCTGGCACAGCACAGGCTGCGGGCGGTGCCAGGAAGAGCGGGCGCCCCATTTTTCCACCTGTCTTTCCAAAACCCCTGAAGCCCCACGCCAAGCCCCGAACGCCCTTGCAGCAATAACCAAAGCACCCCAAGACCCTGGGAGGGGGAGAGAGAAGTCAGAGTTGGGGGCTCTTCCCACTTGGCAACACTGCCTCCCTCTGGGAAAGCCCTGACCTCCAGTTTGGGGAACTGCTCCTTGGCTGACCGTCCGGAAACTGGAGTCCTAATTGGGGGGGAGGGGGGTAGGATGGCTGAGCAGAACAGTCCAAAGACGATGTTCAGCAGAGATGGCAAGTGGAGGGACGGCATTTAATCCGTCCCGGTCCCAGTTCTCACAGCTGCAGGGAGGCTGCCTCTGAGAATGTGCAGAGTGCACAATCCATACCACCAAGTAACGAGTTGGGGGCTCTTCCCACTTGGCAACACCACCTCCCTCTGGGAAAGCCCTGCTCTCCAGTTTGGGGAACTGCTCATTGGCTGACGAGTCCTAATTGGGGGGGAGGGGGGTAGGATGGCTGAGCAGAACAGTCCAAAGACGATGTTCAGCAGAGATGGCAAGTGGAGGGACGGCATTTAATCCGTCCCGGTCCCAGTTCTCACAGCTGCAGGGAGGCTGCCTCTGAGAATGTGCAGAGTGCACAATCCATACCACCAAGGAACCACAAACTCTCCCTGCCATGGGAGGGGGGAAGCACTTCCAGACCAGAAGACCCCCCTGAACAGACGTCCGACACAACAAAACCACAATATACAGTTCGAATCATCTCAGTGCCACAGAAGTGCAGCTTGCCCACGGACGGCGAGGCCAAAGAGTGTCCCGGCCTCTGTCCAGGCAGGCAGGACAGATGACAGCCATTCACTCAAAAAGGAGGAATAAAACACACACACACACATGCAGTCAACCGGCATGCCTGACCTCCTTCCTGGGCCCAGCCCTGCTCTCCAAACGTGGCCAGCCTGGCCCCAGGAGGGCACCTGCCACCGGGCGAGGCTCCGGCAGTCTCGGGACTCACCCGAAAGGTGCCCGCGTCCAGCTTTCTCATGGCCTTCTTCCGGCCAGCGGCAGCAGAGAAAAGTCCTGGCTCTCGAGCAAGAGGAAGTGTGGGCATAATCATCTCCAAACGTGCCTGGGGCCGCCACGGCTTTTATGGGCTTCTGACGCCACTCCTCCCACCCCCTTACCTCAGCAAAATATTTACGACACGTGACGCCCCTCCCCTCTCCTGAAATTGCAATGGTGGGGAGGGAGGGAGGAAAGGGCAGAACAGCGAGGATGATGCTGCCAGCAGGTTGCCAGGCAACCGGGAATCTTGCAAGTAATTTTCCACGACCGCAAAACCAGAGAGAATGAGAAAGAGAGAGAGGCAGGCTTCGTGTGAAGGTGCCAGTCTCTCTTAAAGGGCTCCGCTTTTATGAGGCCAGCGGCCTCCGGGAATAATCTAAAATGCACAGCACCTCCCTTGGCACAGAAGCACACATTCCCCCCCCCTGCACACACACGCTCCCAAAGTGGAACAGCCAGCCATCCAATTAATTTTGAATTTATCAGACTAAAATTTATCACACTGCTAGAACAAAGATAGAAAACCCACCTCTAAGAGCGGCTGGATAGAGAGCTAAGGAGTTTAGATATCTGGCTGCAGAGCCAGAGGTTGGGAGTTTGAATCCCCCGCAGTGCCTCCTTGACAAGGGCTGGACTGGATGATCCTAAGGGGTCCCCCCCAACTCTGCAGGTCTAAGATCCTAAACTGGCCAGGTAAGAAATCCGGCTGCCACCTGGCCCCCAAAGAGGAAGCCTTAAGGTCAAGAGAGGAACCAACAAGATCAACTCGCGAGGAGTCACTGGCGGTGGGCCGCTTTGGAAAGGGTGGATAAGGACCCTCAGAGTTGCCTAAATGCCACCCAAAAATGAAGACAGAAATGGCCATACAGCCACTCCATGTTCAGAAAAAAAACAGTTCCTTGGAGGATAAGAAGTGGCAGGAAAGGGGTTCGTGACCGATTTGAAGGTGGCATCAATTTCCAGGAGTGGCCACTGACTTAATCCTTGTCTGAAAAGAGGAAGCCAGCCGAGGAGCAGAAACAGCCATGGGGGTGGAAGGGCAGGTAGCCCCCACGGGGCACAGTTTGCACACACACACACACACACACACACCACATAACCAAAGCCAAAAGGCCTCTCACCCCCAATTGATTACAGAGTGTTTTTTCGCCCAGAACATTTATTCCGTCACAATTGCAAGAAAAAACAAACGCCAGCTCACCTTTCTGATGCATCTTCCTGCATCCGGACGAAATTAATCATTTGGGAAGCAATGACTAAACGGGTCTGCAAGTTGTAAACACCAAGAGATACCTCCAAGGTTAGAGGAAATGTTTGCCTGCCAAGGAAATCAGTGAGTAGACCTCTCTTCCACATGGCTTGCTCACTCCCAGAGTTGTGAACTCTCTGGATGACACAGACCTGACACTGTGTCACTCACACAAACACACACACACACACTGTTTGTTTCCAGTGAGTGTTCACAATGAGCGCTCACACAACGCCCAACTTATTCTGAGAGCGGCACAGGAGGAGAAACGAAATATCTTCCCACAGTTTGTCTGACTCGGGTGGCTGTCATGGTTTCATGCCGTCTCACACCTTTCAAGGCTCTTCTTATCTACGTACACATGCAAGGCTGGCCAAATTATAGCACCCTCTACGGTTTTTCCACACACACACACCCAACTCTCTTTTTCCATGCTTGCCCCCCAAAGGGTGACCTGTAACTCCAGCCTCCATGACCCTCCCGCCCCCCAACAGACCCTGCTATTTAACATCCACAAAAATACCCATTTTCCAAAAGTGGATATGGACTTCTAGCCAGTCCTGCTGCCATTATTGTAACTTATTTTATTTTCTATCTTGGCACTCGTCGGGGTGCCTACACCCACCCAAAGTTTCCTGCCCCAACACGTAGGAAAATCCGAACCCAGGGGAGATTTGTGAAAGGCGCGGGGTTTGGTTTTGCTTTTTAGACAGCCCTCGTTACACTTTATGGCGATACCATCCCTACCCCCCCGAGGTTTCCAGATTTCCCATCAGGGCCCTCCTCTGAATGCACTCTTTAGCAGAAGGGTGATCTGTATTTCCAAAACAGGAGAGCTTTTCCACGAGGAGCACGCTACCTGTGAAACGCTCTCCTCAAGAAGGTTCCAGTGGCAAGGACACCTCGAATCCCAAGGCTAGGCTCCTCTCTTTGCCCGGGCCTCTTGGACAAAGTTTGCTGTTATCACACTGTTTCTAATCCTGCTGAACTAGGCTAAACATCCCCATGATTGTTTCTTTTTTGATGTGTTTATACATTTCTGTGGATATATATATATTTTAACCATCCTGCCCTTCAAGAAGGGTGGTTACAAAAATAATGTAAATAAATAGATAAAAGGAGCCATTGGCACAGGTTGGCCACGTGTTGTGCACAGACATTCTTCTTGCTAAATGAAGCAGGAGGGAATATTATGAGCATGTAAAGCAGCAGCACCGCCATGGGGAGAACAAACAGGTGTTTTTTTTCTCGCCTTTAGAAGAAGTGCAAGAGAAAGGAGAGCCAGTCACTTTCTTGGAAGGAATGGGTTCCCACAAAGTGACACCGGGAATTTCAAGAAAATTCAAGGTCCTTCGCTGCTGCTGCTGCTGCTGCTGCTTAAGCATGAGATAACAAGCATGACTTAGATCGAGGGGAAAGGCTGCCGCGTCCTTGGGAAAACAGGTCTCGCCAGTCTCATGGAGGTATCGCCCTGCCCACGGAGTGATTCAGTCCAGCAACGAGTCCTAGTTCAGCCCAAGCCCCACTAGACCAGGTTTCAGTCCTGAGTCAAAACACAAGGCCACGCAAGGGAAAGCAAAAGAGTGAATCAGACGGAGCTTCCAGCCGCCCTTGAGAAATGGGGATTATTCACTAGGATGGGAAATAAATGATCCCCTTCCTGTTAAGGTGACAATTCTACCTGGAGTGCGGGGAAACATCCGGGAAGTTGCTTACAGATAGAAAGAGGAGAGTTTCCCGCAGGGTCTCTGTGTTTGACAGTTACACAAAAATGGATTTTGGTGGCTTTCTTTTGAAGTTCCCAACTCTGAGAAATATCCGTGCAAATATATCATGCCACAACACTTAGAAAAATGCCAGCACAAATTCAAAAGGGAGGCCCTTGGGAACAAAATAGGATAATGAAATATTGCAAATAGGAGCAGAGGTACATTAAGGAAAACATAAGGGTTGAGGAAGGCAGGTTTCACTCTGACAGCACATTGTTCACAGCGCCAATGTGAAAAATTGTTTCCAGGCGAGCACCTTTGTTTTCTTGAAACTTGGCATGCTGGAGAGGAGGGGGTTGCCTCTCTTGTTTTTTCTCATTCAAAAGTGCTTTCACTTCACAGAGGGAAAATATCAGGTAGTCAAATTTCTCCCTTCGTGTTTTCCTGAAACTCAGGCCTTTGTTACAAAAAAAAACCCCAATATTTTCAAAAACAGGAAATTATGACTGAACCGGCAAGAAAGAGCAAAAGGTCCAGGTTTGAGAAAATGAAGCTATTTTTAACAAGGCCTCCAGTTGTTAAGATGGATGGAAACACTTTGCACATCCCTATAACTCACTGGGTGAAAGGAACAAGTTATTTTGCACGGGGCTGGGGTGGGTGGGAGAGAGAAGCTGAGAAACACAGAAAATACAAAGCAGAATATGGCAAACACCCTAACAAAGGTAAAGACTCAGTGATTCTTATGCTACCTTTTGGGTGAAATAATTAGATCAAGCCAATAATGCCTTCTTTAAACTATTCAGATGCACATCTTGCATCATCTTTCACGTGACAACTCAGGATGGGGATTCATCAGGGAAACATTCATGCACGCACACACACACACAGGTGTGGCAAACAACTTTCCGTCCTCCATAAAGGGTGGGGAACTGTTCTTGGCTGGAAATCTCAAGCTCAGATTTTCACACAGCCCCAAATCCACGAAGTGGCCTTTGGTAATTCCACGCTCACCCTTCCACCACTTTTGAATCTATACCAATAGAGCTGGGAGATCATGGGGAGGGATAGACACCAAACTTACAGGAGAGTCATGTTATTTTTATTGTCTGTTATTAGGTTACTATGTGTCCACAACATTTTGTTTGATGATGAGACAGGGTGTAGCTCAGTGGTTGAGGTCTCTTTGGCTGTGGAGCCAGAGGCTGGGAGTTCGATTCCGCCTCTGTGCCTCCTTGGCAGGGGATGGACTGGATGACCCCACAGGGTCCCTCCCAGCTCTGCAGTTCAAAGGTGGTTGTTAAAATACCTTGTGTATTAAGCCTTCTCTCGAACCTTTTCAGTGTTGTCAGCTAGCTAAGACTCCTAAGAATCACGACTTGAGGGTGAGGAGGGTGCAACTTAGTTAGGACTGACATGAGCTGAATTCTGGAAAGCCAAAGCATATGGGGAGAGGCTGCAGCCAGAGTTACTAAACGGATAAATTCCAGAAAGCAGCAGAATTAGCAAATCATTCTGTGACAAAGACTGGCAAAGCTTAATGGTGATCAAGGAATCCATCACACAAATCTGGATGCCCAGACGCTGCCCAGCCTCAGGCAGCCGACGGCAGTAAAAGCCCATCCACTGGCATCCACTGGGACCAGCAACACCCCCTCCCCTAAGCTCCACCACTGGAGACTGCTGAACCGCATCCCTTCCTCTGCCACCCCCTCTGCCACAACAAGGCCACTGTTCCTTCAACTCTCCCGCCGTGGGCATTTACAAATAACGGCTGCAAATATTCTTCCATGTTTGCACAAAATGCAAATCAAACGGAAAACTCTCTCATGGCTGAGAAAACAGGCACCCATCCCTGCCTGCTGGGGGTGGCGGGGAGGGGGGGCTCCAACAGTGGATGCCTTGGCCTGTCTGGGCAGATAAGAGGTGAGCCTCTTGCCCCCCCATCAATGCTTTGCCCCGTCCCTAAAAGTCCGACGGAGGGCAGCTGGCTTCCCAGGTCAGATCGGATCTCCCTCGTCCCCCTCTGTAAAAAAAAAGGGGGGGGCCATCACAGGCCTGTGGGAAAGGCACAATCTCACCAGACCGCCGGTCAGGGGAAAGCAAAGA